GGTTTAATTTTATTTACATAATTCGCTTGCGCGTAGGGGTCTTTAGCAGTGGGAGGAAACCGGAGGACCCGGAGAAAACCCACGAGGTTGGACAGGCGACCCTACTCCTTGCCACGTACAACCGGGGATTCGAAACCACGCCAGTCGACTCAATGACAGACTTTATGATACAGCGCGCGCACGCTAACGAGTCAGCCATCCACCCCCCATCAGTGGGAGGAAACCGGAGGACCCGAAGAAAACCCACGAAGTTAGACAGGCAACTCTATACCTTGTCACATACAAGCGTATTGAGTATTTGTAGTCCGTATTGACTTATCACCAAATTGATTGCTATCTACCATTCTTTCATCAACTTAATCCTGAAGTGGTCACATGACAAGGTTATCTAGTTTTATCATGTATACAGTAATCATATCGATTTACATATATTAAAAGAATATCGATCGACTACAGGGGAACTGTATTTTCATTGAATATTTACCCACCAATGGCGATTTTGATATTAAATTAATTATGGGCGTTGGAAAAAGCCGACAGTCGGATTTAGAGGCAGACGAGAATCGGGAATTGTTAAACAGTGTAAATGGATACAGGTTTGTTTACTTAATATACACGTGACTTACACTAGAATGATACAAAGCTCATCGGTATTTTCCGGCGTGGTTCCTCCTTGGCAGTGGTGCAGGACAGGGGACCTGGCAAGGGACAACGTATAGTTTTTCGGATGGGACGAAAAACCGAGGTTCCATGTACACATTAGAGTGCACGTATAGAAGAGTAGCCAGTAGCGCCGTTGGCCGGGCAAAATTTCCCTCGTAGCACACTGTATGGCGTATGGCCATCTTCACTAGTCCAGTTGGAGCAGAAAAGTAGGACATTGATCTCCATGTCATTTCAAAATGATATGTTTGGGGAATATTCTGCATTTTTCGTGGATCGTCTCCTTTATTTTTAGTCTGCGTCGGGGCTGTACAGCGCAGTCAATGCATACAGCTAGATCCCCAGATCCAATCACTTGATTAATGTTGCTTGCAGTGTCTATGTTGTCTGTGTGTCTTGTTCTATGGGTTTTGTGCCCCCCCCCCCCCGCACTTACTATTAGGTGGGAAATCTTACCCGGATTGTGTGTTCTGCAGTCGACACAAGTAATCAAACAATGAAAACGAAATAAGTAAACTACCTGACTTCTCTTTAATCTTTCGGTAGACTGGGATTCCCCCCCCCCCCGTAATAATGAGCCGCTGGAGGGGATACAAAACAATAAATCAATAATAAATAGGCCGACCAGGGAAAGGATGCTCAGGCGGGTTTGAGGGCCCAGTCCGCTACAGTTGACTCACTAACCAGGATGTCCTTGTTCGTTCGTCATGATTTTCCGAACTAGTTTATTCCGTATTAGTTGTGCAGCAGGGCGCGGTAAGTAAAAGCCTATAGTCGCTCGGATGGGATGAAAAAACGAGGTGTACACGTTGGCATACACCTTAAAAAATCTTAAGAGAGGGAGAGAGAGAGAGAGAGAGAGAGAGAGAGAGATATGGTTTAACGTCCATTCAGCACAAACCAGGTCATTTTGGGAATAACATTTGGTTCAATTTTATTTCAATAATTGGCTTGCGCGTAGGGGTCTTTAGCAGTGGGAGGACCCGGAGAAAATCTACTAGATTGGACAGGCGAACCTACTCCTTGTCACTTACAAGCGGGGAATCGAAGTTGGAAATGATGAAGAGTTGGTGGAAGTCCCCTTCCACTCGGACTTACTAGCGAAACCGCCACTGTCCAGGCAAAATTTCCCTGATATAGCACACTACATGGCGTCTGCCCGTCTTCTATAACTTGGTTGTTGCAGAAAAGCAGTACGCTAAACCTTATTTCGTTTCACTCATTATTTACACTTTCAAATAATTGTATCTTGCCATAGTTTTTTTTAAAAGTTCAATTGTTTGATTATAATATACCACTTGATGTCTGACCGTATTTAATGATTAGATAACTAACTGCTGAATCACTGAGTCAAATGTTTACTTTTCATCTTTAAGGCCTGTTATTCAAATAAAAAAGAACATTGATGACAAAACATCTTTTAAAGTCAATCGGTGCAGAACAGTGGGACGTTAAACTTCATTTCATTTCTTTTTAAAGTCTCAGAATGTCATTTTTGGCGATTGGCGAATCCCTTGCAAGCTACAATATTCTGAAATTTGAATCTTTCAAAGGAATATCAGTCCAAAAATAGTTCAATTCCATTTATGATGAATTCAAAATTTGTCCACATTCGGCACCCTCTGCAGGGACGATATAAAATAGATAGGGGGAAAAGCCAGTGCTACTTTTTAATCTGATTGAATCCATGCTGCCAGACTACCTATTCTACGATTGATATTTTGATTTTATGTTCTTAATTAAATGTTAAGTAATTAAGAAAAATATTGCCCGCGTATCGGCGTTTCTGCCAACTCTTCGTCAGATTCCAATGATTCCTTAGATACACGCACACGTTTAGTGTTCTATCCCAATGCATATGCGTTGTTCAGTGCCACACCCTCTGTACTGCACCACTAATAAGGGGAAAAAGAACCAAGGAACGTATCGGCAAACACAACGGTTGCTAACCCGCTATCTCCTGGTAAGTGAGCTGTATAACGAGATCACCCCTTTACTTCAGTAGTAAGTCCCTTTATGAACTAGTGTGTGCAGAATTGACGTTAAACCCCATCTCTATCTCTTTATTTCAGTAGTGACTATAAAGATGCAGAATTTACCAACTCAGTTGAAAAAAGAATCAGGTAAAATTTAACTTAATTCATCTTAAATTGTACTTTCATTCATCCTAAATTGTACTTTCATTCATCCTAAATAAATTGTACTTTCTTTTCATCCTGAATTGTACTTTACTTCATTAATGTAATTTCATAGCTGTTACCCAATGGTGCCGTGCCAGTAGAGCCACGTGTGCTATGGGAATTCCGAAATTGCATTGACCTCTCATATAGAATATCCAGAGTTCGAATCTCACCGTGGGATGAGAAAAAATATCGGGATTTTTCAAGATATGTCCTCGGCCTTTACGACTGACAATGTGTCCCTGTCGTTGCGATGGGACCAAAAACCGTAACCCACCCATGTAGGCTACACATTGACGTGCACTTAAAAGTATCTTTCACAGTTGGAATGCGAAGAAGAATCGGTGAAAACCCCACTGACAATGGCTCAGTAACCGGGCCCAGGACTTATCCCGTTGTTGGCCGAGAAATCATCGGGCGGTTCCAGTCTGCCCCCACCACCACCACCACCATTACCGTCGTCGGGGCTGCAGGACGGGTGGACTGCACGAAACAGCGTTTAGTCGTTCGGGTTGTAGGAAACTGCGGGCAACACGCTGCGTGACTTCATTAGCGCAGTTGGAACAGAAAAGCAAGAATTTAAGCACCATTTCACTTCATCCATTCCCTTAATTGGAATCCTCTTTTAGGATCGATGGTAAGATATTATTTCCCAAGTCATTTCAGTTGCATAAATGTCGCCATTTAATAAATGTTTCATAGCAAGTTTATTTATCCAATGAAACTCTGGATTGCTTCATTTTTTCAGACAACCTATTAAATACCATTCTATCAATGACTCAGATGAACAAAATGGCGGCGTGAATCAAAATGACGAAGCTGTTATACACCGATATAAATATTATAACAGACTTACACCACATAGTAATGGCGTCCTGGTAAGTTAGGTAAACTCCCAAGTCCCCATATGGTATTTTGATTAAAATTACTCCCCATTATGGCGTCCGGGTAAGTTAAAATTACTCCCCATGGGGCCCCATATGGCGTCCTGGTAAGTGAAGATTACTCCATGTTGCGCTTGGTAAGCTGGGATTGCTCCCCAGACTTACACCGCGTAATAATGGAGTCCTGGTAAGTTAGGCTTACAACACATAGTAATGACATCCTAGTAAATCAGACTTTGGCCATAGTAACGGCGTCCTGGTAAGACAGACTTACACCACATAGTTATAACGTTCTGGTAAGTTAGATTAACACCACATAGTAATGGCGTCCTGGTAAGTCAGGCTTAAACTACATAGTATTGGCGTCCGGGTAAGACAGACTTACTCTACATAGTAATAGTGTCCTGGTAAGTTAGACTTACACTGCATAGTAATGGCGTCCTGGTAAGTCAGACTTACCCTACATAGTAATGGCGTCCTTGTTAGTCAGACTTATGCCACATCCTAATGGCGCACACTTCATATTAACATTGACTCGCAATGCAAATTGGACTTATTGCTGGTTTCAGTTTTGTTAATTTCACATCGCCCTCTTTATCTATCTGAGACATACACAATAATAATAATTGTGCTTATACGTATTACAGTGACTTGTGCAAAGACGTCTTATACATATAAGTGGTGTCCCTGATTAACTGAGACCCACCTATCGACTTATTAATGTCTGTGGGTTTGTTTTATTCATCAGCGTATGCCGGACCATGTTGTACCGGGTAATTTTACCATAAAAGTGTATGTACCAGTCACAGGAAAACAGAACAGCATCATAACTATGTAAGTTTCACTTCAATTTATCGTCATGAGGATGTTTAACGTCTAGTCAACACCACATTTGTGTCACTTTTAGTTTCTCTCTCTCTCCCCCTCTCTCTCTCTCTCTCTCTGTGGAATTTTGCCCTGACAGCGGCATTTCCGTCTACATATTATCGAATTCTGACTGTCCGGGGTTTTCTACCCATCGGAAAGACTTCGGAATGAGATTCTTCTCGGATGAACAGTCCTAAAAATGATGTTTGTATTGTAATGGAGATTATAAACACAGAGCGAAACCCAGTTAATGGCGCCATCTGGTAGCACATGGAACCAAGGCCCTTGCGAAATGACAAAAATGTGACTTAGATCGTTCTTCTCCTGGACTTTTCAGATATTATAAATAGGGTATATAATCGTCTGACATCGATAGAAGCGTATTTATTTATTTACTTTTCAGTTTTTCTCTATGGAATACCATGATGGGAACTTCATTACTAAGTATGCCCTGGGCTATAAAAGAGGTTTGTTATTAAATTTAAGTAGGGTTAGTAACCTATAGCCCCAAGTATAGATGTAAAATGTGCTGGGAAAGGGGTCTGCGTTCATGTAAGGTGAGATGTTGTATGTTATAGGCGGGGTTTATAAATGGTGTTGTGTATTTTATAGGCGGGGGTTATATGTGGTGTTGTGTATATTATAGGCGGAGTTTATATGTTGTATATGTTATAGGCGGGGTTTATAAGTGGTGTTGTGTATATTATAGGCGGGGTTTATAAGTGGTGTTGTGTATATTATAGGCGGGGTTTATATGTGGTGTTGTGTATATTATAGGCGGGGTTTATATGTTGTATATGTTATCGGGGGGGGGGGGTAAAAGTGGCGTGGTGTATATTATAGGCGGGGTTTATATGTGGTGTTGTGTATATTATAGGCGGGGTTTATATGTTGTATATGTTATGGGGGGGGGGGTAAAAGTGGCGTGGTGTATATTATAGGCGGGGTTTATATGTGGTGTTGTGTATATTATAGGCGGGGTTTATATGTTGTATATGTTATAGGGGGTTTATAAGTGGTGTTGTTATAGGCGGTATTTATAAATGGTATTGTGTATATTATAGGCGGGGTTTATAAGTGGTATTGTATTATTACTAGTAATGGCTGGTATAATGATGTACACATGTTATAGAGTACAGAAAGCTGTTGATATAATGAGTAAGTATTAATTTTAAATGTGTTTATCTGTTTAATTATAGTCTATAAATAAACAGATAAACACATTATAAATTATAGTTCTTTCATTATCACCACCGATATCTATATCTAAAGCTATTTTTGGACCAGGAACAGATCCCCAAGCGTTACTCATGCTCTTGTGCTTGTTCTTGGGGACGACGCTCTTCGAATAAAGACTAAAGCTACGCACGACATGATACTTGGTATGCGTGTTCCTTGGACAACTGCGCATCGTTTGGCGCATCACAATTCTAAGATGTCTGGGATGACGGCGTGCGTGGTTCCAGGTCCATAGTACGCCCGTACTTGTATTAAATCAGTGTCTAGTCGTTCGGATGGGGCAAAAACATGGCGCATACCTAAAAGAACCCTTGGCAGTTGGAATTCAATGAAAAGTGTGTGGAAACGATGCTGTCTGAGTAGAATTGCCGTCATAGCACACCTGAGCACACTGCTTGGCGTATGCCTTTTTTCATTAGCCAGTTTGTTGTAGAAAACTAGGACGTTAAACCACATTCCATTTTATATCCATATTGTTTTGTGTTATCTCAAAGATATGCGATTTGTCTTTTAGAGGAGATGGTAGAAGTATTAGAATTTTCTGATGTTTGTAAACAGTATTTTGGTAAGGCAGCAGAAGTTGTCGCCCTTGTCTCGTCGTTAACCTCTCTACTTGGTGGAATGATTGTATACTGGATTCTCATGTCCAACTTCTTATATCATGTAGTATCATTTATATTTTGTACGTAACTTTTAGTTTAGTTATTATTTCATTTTTCATATGGTTTAAAGTTTAAAGTATAGGAAAAATGAAATAATAACTAAACTTGTTTAAACTTTAAACAATACTTTATTTAATAACTTTACAGAATGAATATGATATATATAGGATACGATAACAAGTTTAATAGACACTGGCCATATATGCCACCCTTTCTTGCAAAGGTCTCAATGTCAGGGGCCCCATACTGGCTTAATCCGGCTATGATCACTGATCAGTATTGGGATTTGGGATGGCATAGTGGTCTAGAGTGTCGCGCTTCGGGCGCTAGCTGTCCGGTCACCTCTGTTTGCGATCGTGGACTCGATCTATCGTCAGAGTTTCGAGATACTGGCACCAACTCAACCTCGTGGGTACTCTGGTTTCCTTGCACAGGAAAAACCCTTGCGCATGCGCTGACTTTATTAAAATGTATGTTTACCATAAATATTATTTATCCTCTGTTTTGTTTAAAGATGCATTATGTAAGATTTAGATAAAGAGCTGGTCGTTCTTGCTATAATAGTTTAAAAATATATAGTAAAACATGAATATAGTGAAATTTTCGTTCAAATTACTTTAAACTGAGCAAAGTTATCGCTGTTTGGAGTTTTGACAATATTAAAGACCCGTGCGCGTGCTCTAATATAATTGAGATAAAATATTGTCTGCGATATTACCCTCGGTGGAAGCGGACGTTAAATAGAAGAAGAAGAAACATGATTGCCGAAAAACACGTATTTTTACATATTTTCTATTTTCAGATGAAAGTGAAAATAACTTCAACTCGTCATCTTTGATGAATCATACGACTTATTCAGATGGTGAGTACGATTATGGTCGACGGTTACGTTTCATAAATCGCGTGTTTAAAGACTTGCATACACGAATATCGAACGTTTTAATTGTAAAATTACAACTCTAATGCCTTTTATCATCCTTATTATTGTTTTAAAAAATGTTTCTCTCTCTCTCTCTCTCTCAGACCGGGGTGGCGTCCTTATAGGCGTGGGTCCAGGGGCCGCAATAACCTGGAGAAAAGAGTACTTGCGGCCAAATTATTGGGGGGCTAAAGCCCCCCCCCCCCCCTAGCCCCCCCCCCACCACTCCGCCTGGCCTGCCGTACAGCGACCAGAAGATGCACAAGGTCGCCAGCAAACGTGAACGCAACGCGAGATAATGTCCCAAAAAATTACAAACTTTAAAATAGTTGCGTTCTTACAGCTTTCCAGGTCAGATCGCAGAATCTTGGCGTTTGTTTTGAACGTTTTCAGAACAAACGCCGTGACTCGGCGATCATTGAGACCACAGCACGATATCTGGCGTTTCCACGATGCTTTTACCACGTTTATGGCGATCTTGACGCGCTCTGTGACTATTTTCCGTCGCTGTAGCGTCGCAGTAAGGACGCCACATTCCATGGTCTGACGGGGGTATTACGTTTTAATGATTTGTTATATATTTACAGCTGTGTGTCCAAATGCTGCCACGATAGATAACTCGTCTTTAAATGGGGCTATATCAACCTCGGTTTCCACCCTCTACCACTCACCTCTCATCGGAAATTTTCCGGTTGGTAACAGTGTCTTTGATAGAATATGGGACGAAGAAAAAACGGTTCCATTCTTTCTGATTATTCTAATGGCACCTCTGGTTAACTTCAAATCACCCACCATTTTTACGAAAATGAACGCTTTGGGTAAGAATGATCACTTGTAATAATATTGATTCCAGGTCTGGTGTTCGCTCCAGGTGTTGACCGAGGAATTCCCCGGAGATTTACCAGCATGTTTCCTTCTTGTCCGTGGTACCCCCTTGTCCGTGGTGCAGCTCATTGTACAAGTAAAAGACACCCCCAGCCCCTATACAATTTTCGTCACTCCATCTACAAACACTTCTGTGTTGTACTTTTGTGCCTCGATTTTTTTTCTGTGAAAATGACTCTGCATTTTATTTTATTATTTCAGGAGCTGTATCGGTAATGTATCTGTTTATCTTTACGGCTGTTAAATCGGCTAAGTGGGGAATCCATATTGATTTTAGTTCAGTGGATTCCGTGTTGCCGGACTATACCAAGAGTAAGTTTATAATGGGCTGTGAGCAGTGCCGGACTGGTGGGCCTTTGGCCCACCTGTCAGGTCATTGACCAAGGCCCACACAAGTACGCGCCGAAGGCGCACGAGCGTACGAGGGGGGTCGGGGGGGGGGGGGTCTCCCCCCCCATGAAAATTTTGAAAATTGGCAACCGCAAACCCATTTTCCAAGCATTTCAGACCAAAGCAGAAGAAGGCAAGTTTTTTATTTCCTGATACAATTAGATAACAGAATGCCTAAGAGCACTATCATAAGATGAATTTGGGAATTCTCCTCTCCTCTCCTCTCTTCTTTCTTTTCTTTCTTCCCCCTCTCCTTTCTTTCTCTTTTCTTTTTCCTTTTTTTCTTTTTTCTTTCTCTTTTTTCTTTGTAGGCTTAGGCCTATCCGTTTTGATAGCCTCGTTTTTCACGCAATTAGTTTTTCGGCTATGCACTGGTTAATTGGGCGTAATAAAATCGTGAGTCATGACGTAACGTTATGTAAACATATTTGGTCCAATTTGGAGCTCTGTTTAAAGCGTATTATATTGTTACTCAGTTAGCTTTTGGTTGTTAATCGGACTATTGACCAGTCATAATTTGGAACAGAAATTTGTTTCCATTACAGCAGTGTTATGTGGAATTAGCTATAATCAAACGAAACACTGCGAGGAGTATCCGAGTGGGACTCTATTCGTACAGCGCCGCGTAAACACGAATAAGGGAGGACATGTATAGGCCTGAACCAAGTGGAAAATTTACGCCCCGCCTGCCTCGTTCCTGCTAATCTACTTTACATCGGCGCCATCCGATCTTTTAGGAAGTTGATAATAGGCTTGTCATGTGAATAATGTTTAAATAATAATTTATTTAACAACAGGCAGATTTAGCTCTTACGTGATGCAGCTTTAAAATGACGCGTTATCCAACAGCCTCGTCTTTATGTGGTCACGACTAATGAGAGCTCCAATAGAATTGACATTAGAAATCGCAGCAAATTTAAATCAGATGTTATATATTTTCCAGATTTTCGATCGACATTTCCGGCTTTAACAGGAGTATCGGCACTAGCTTATTTCGTCCAGAATAGTTGTATATCCATTACACGAAATCAAAAAAATCCTAAAAATAATGTAGGTATATTTTGCAAGTGTGAATGTTTCCGTCTTGTTTTATTACAGAGCAATAGTTTATTCTAAGTAGCGACTCCCTCTCTGTTCTTCGGCGCGAATAATAAAAAAAAGGGAGTGAAATGGGGTTTAACCGCTTACTGTTCTCTTCCAACCGGGGTAATAAGACGCCGTATAATACGTCATGCATTCCTAACAAATAAGGGGATCACCGAGGTCCCGTGTATACATTGAAATGCACGTAAAAGATCCCTTGGCAGTTAGAATTCGATATAAGAGTAGGCGATAGTGCCGCTGCCCGGGCAAAATTTCCCTCATCGCACACTGTATGGCGTATGCCCGTCTTCATTAGCCCAGTATAGGAGCAGAACAGTAGGACGTTAAACCCCATTTCATTTCATTTCATTTCCTAACAAATAACGATATCACCTTTAACAAGACCATTTGATTTCACTCACTAAATAATGATGCCCTGCTTGGTATACGACAGTCTTTATCAATTCTGGTCTTTAGAAATAATGTTTGATATATTTTATCGGCACGAGATATAATTGTAGCCTATATATAGGCGCGAGATATAATTCTTGTGTGTATTTTACAGGTGCGAGATATAATTCTAGTGTATATGATATAGGTACGAGATATAATGTTAGTGTATATTATATAGGTACGAGATATAATTCTTTTCTCCGGGTCCTCCGGTTTCCTCCCACTGCTAAAGACCCCTACGCGCAAGCGAATTATGTAAATAAAATTAAACCATATGTTAGTCCCGAAATGACCTAGTTTGTGTCGAGTGGACGTTAAACCCCATTTCTCTCTCTCTCAGATATAATTCTAGTGTATATTATATAGGTACGAGATATAATTCTAGTGTATATATATTTTACAGGTGCGAGATATAATTATAGATTATATATTTTGCAGGTGCGAGATATAATTCTAGCCTATATATTAGTAGCAGTTTCCTATGTTTATATTGGTTCTATCTTCTATTCATCATACCCCCTCTCTAAATCATGTATTCAGGATGTAAGTACCTTTCTAAATCATGTATCCTGGATGTAAGTGTCGATATCTTCTGCAGCCTGTTTCACGAAATTTTAACTAAGATAAAATCCAAATTTTAGTAATTTGATTAGATAATATTAGATTTATTTTAGTGCTTTTAGCCAATCAAAATTAAAGTATCTACTAAAATTTGGATTTTATCTTTAGTTAAGATTTCGAGAAACATGGCCCAGGGCATAGGACAGGCTACTTTAGAATATAGGCAAAGTCAATAACTGACATCCTCCCCAACAAAGCAAAACAAACTTGCAAGAATAAGTAACCCGTCAATCTTTGATACAAAATCTGTATAAAACTGTGACGCTCAAAATTAAACCCTATTTTATTTAATAATATTTTCTTTGTTATTTTTCTTTCTTCAGAATTTATTAAATAATATAGAGACTAACGACGTCATGGCGTTTGTGGCAAGAATTGGATTGTTTTTCCAAATACTCTGTGTTTTCCCGCTTTTGATATTTATATTTCGTCTTCAATTTCTACATTATGTTTTCGGCTCGGTTTGGCCAAGGTAAGAATAGTTCGGCTCTTAGGGGCTGAGCGCTTTAGAACAAAAGATCTGCCATTGAGTCAAGTGGTGTGGTTTCTGATTAGTCCGCATGGTGCAGAAAAATACAACGTTAAACGTCTTACCTTTTTATTTTATTTCAAATCACCCAACTTAGGTTTCGAAATAATTACTCTTCTGAATGTTTGTCGTAACTCATTTATATGATGACTGTTTTAAACCTCCGTGCACCAATTTACAAAAGTTAAATATTGATTTCGTATCTACCTTTCAGTTTGAAACATGTTAATGTTACTTTTAGTTTGAAACACGTGTAAGTGTTCAGTTTATAACATGTATGAGTGTTATTTTCAGTTTGAAACATGTATTGGTGTTAAATGTTGTATTAATTGGTGTCTGTATCATCTTCGCCATCTTTTTACCTCATATTGGTAGAATAATTGGGTAAGTCCCGGCTTTTTTCAGAGTGGTGTCCCCTTGTATTTGGTACAGGACGGAATGCCTAGCAAGGAACAGCGTCTAGTTGTTCGGTGGGACGAAAAAGACCCCTTGACAGTTGGAATTCGAAATGAGAGTAGGTCACAGCGCCGCAGTCCCGGTAAAAGTTCACTCATTATACACACTGCGTCTAGTCGTAAAGGCTGTATCGACGTGCAGGTCCGAGCAACTTTTCCCTCATACCGTTTTGTTCGTACTTCGAATTTTGTTTAATTGTTTAGGATTGTTAGTACTTTGTTTTATTCTATTTATATCACACTGTCATGGCGTATGCCGAGCTTTATTATTCCGTTTTTTTGCATTTAAGATCCGAAATTTTAGATGAATTTGACATTTATAATTGATTTATTTTCAGGTTCGTTGGTGCCTTCTGTGGATTCTCCTTTGGTATTTGTCTTCCTTGTTTGGTTTATTTAAAAGCGTGTCACCTTGGTCACGGTGGATTGAAATTAACATGGCCTAAAATCGTCATCCATTGTATACTTATTGTGATTGGATTCTTAAATTTTGTTGGACAGTTTACCATCATCGGAAAAACAAATTAACTGTTATTGTTGCCATGACAAAGAATTTTGGAATAAATCTCTTCTTTTTTAAAAAAAAAAAAATACCCGTGTTCACATTATATAGTCGGGTCACAACCGCCAGATCCGTGACCATTTCACGGGGAACAAAGTTTGACGATGGTTTCTGATAGAAGGGACCCTGGTGAAGATATTTGTAGTTTGCTACATCTGAAAACTAATGGCTGACTCCAAGAGAGCCGGAGCCACCTTGGCTATAAGTGGGTAAGACGCTGGCTTGCTAGCCCGAAGGTCGCGTGTTCGATCACTGCATTGGCCGGGAAAGTTCATCGGGTGCAGGAAGGAGGACCTGACAAGGACTGCTGTCTAGTCGTTCGTATGGTGCGAAAAACCGAGGTCCTGTGTATACATTGGCTTGCACGTAAAAGATCCCTTGGCAGTTGGAATTCGATATAAGAATAGACCATAGTGCCGCTGCCCGGTCAAAGTGTCCCTAATAGCACGCTGTATGACGTAAGCCTGTCTTCATTAGCCCAGTCGGAGCAGAACAGTAGGACGTTAAACCCCATTTCATTTTCCAGGAGAGCCGAAAATCCAAGATGGCGGCCAAAAATGGTCTAAAATTGACACTTTATTTTCTAACAATATTTATTCAATCAATTTTTAGGCTACATAATCTAAAGATACTATATTTAATTATGGGATCTGAAAAAAGGCCGAATTCAATTGACACTTGACAAACATTGTTGGCGAAATGAGCCGTGTAATCTAGGCCTATCATTTAATTTAAAATGTGTAGGCTTATGTAAGAAAACACTTCTGAAGAAAATTCCTGAGGAACAAACAACCCACAGTGACACTTTTGATTATAGCCAGAAAGAAAGAAAATGTCTGAGACTTGCAAAGTTTGGTGATTTCTGAACACCCTCATCAGTTCTGGATTTTCACCCTTCCTAGCCCGTGTCTGAAAGACCCCGGTGCGACGATGCTTTTTTCTTTAAGAAAACAAAGCTGACGGACTAACAGACGAAAAAGGCACCATAATTATATGCTCTTCAAAAAAAGTAGGGGATATTCAGAAACAATAGGCCTACAAAACTGCGGAAATGCACTGCTGTTTTTATTAGAGGTAACCAGTGTATGTTAATAACAGGCCAATTGCCTACACATGAACATAAACAGTTCATATGGGCGGCTTATCTGGCGGCCCCATTTTACTCGCAAAGAGATACACTGTCAAAAGTGAAAATGGACGTTTTTGATTTTCGTCTTAATAATGAGTAATTTCTCCACCAATCCTCAGACATTCATCAATTCATCGTGGCATGCTCCTAATCAACCGTCCAATCACGATTTGGGGCAATCCAACCCACTCCTCTTGCAGTGCCACGGCCAATTATTGCAGTGTTGTCGGTTGACGTTGACGTCGACGAACACGTCTCTCGATCAAATTAAACGTAATGCACTAAAGCAAAGATACGCTAAACAGTAAATCTTAAGCAAGAACCGATAGGAAAGCAAACATGGATAGGATAAACCAGCACGCGGCAGTTTTCATCAAACCCTTCTTTGAAGTGTAAAATTTGACAATGAACCCCTCCTCCCACGTGTATGGCGCTAAATTGCGTGTCGCACATGCAGCTCAGTGGTTCTGTTGGGGCGATAAGTTCTTCATCTGTGAACATACTCTCAAAGCATGTCAAGTGTCCATGACTATTTATCATATCGCAACCTGCATAGGTATTTGCATTTCAATAAAACCCTACTTTTTTGAAGAGTATATATACTTATTCGAAAATATCTCGCTCAGTTGCAAAAGGAATTTGCGTCTCCTCTGTATACCAGTTTGTGTATGTCGTGTTAAAAATAGAAATAAAGTAAAAGTAGACTTCCGGTAGTACATTTTACACACGAATTACCAGACACACTGCATCGTAAATACAGTCTTGTAGATTGAGTCTTGTAGGTGTCAAGCGAAGACGTAATGTAATAATAAGACGAAGTTTGATGAGTTATTTTATTAAAACCAGCCCAACAAGTGCCATAAAGAAATGGGGTCTGGCAGAAGTAAAGAAGCTAATGATGTAGACGAGAGTGGGCCTCTTATAAATCCAGAAAACAATGGGTATACGAATCTTTATTTCATTTTTGGTGGGGGGATGAATTGGATGGTTCAGAAAATGTTTGTCACACTTCAACAGACATGTGACATCTTTCGGGTTTGTTTTCAATTTTCTGGCATTTGTTTCTTTTTGATGATTTATCCCTGGCGTTCTTTCGAAGGTGAATTTGTTATCACCAAGCTTTGTATTATAGGCTACTCATGATCTATACAGTAATTTTAGTTTGGAAAATACATTTTGAGGGGCATTTTTGAAACAAAAACTCTAGCTAGGCTATGATTTTAAATGAAAAATGACAATTTTAGGGTGACCCATGTCTCACAGAAATACAGTCCATCGCTGATAGTTCGAGACTACCACTGAAGCGTGCACATTCGCCGTGCCGAGACCAACTTTCTGACAGTATGATACTATAAATAGCCATGGCACGCGCAATTCTCTACAAATTTATCAACTATTACAGCCGTAAAAAAATTATTGTTGACGATTTTGAATAGCAGTAAAATTAAGCTTCTTGGTTATTACAGCAGATTTAGAAATTACGTTCGTTTCATTTTTTAAATCGCTTTATCATTAACTGTACCATTAAGAGCGGCATCTTTTGGTTTAGTACAAATAATATCTCTGAATCACTCGGGTTAGACAGGAACATGATACTAGCAGTAGTTTCATTTTACTTTTACAAGCTTCTTAAAAGGATTGTTGAGCTACCTAACGTGCTTATTTCTAAATTCAATTTTTTGTTCTAGCTTTCTGTTATGTTTCGTAAAAAAGTAGTCTTGATTATCCCGACCTGTCAATCAGACGTAGAATGGTCGATAGACTGGTTAAGCGAGACTAATTTCAAAACAAGGGCACGTAACCTATCTTTTACTCAAAAGTGTCTGGATGTTATGGACGACTCTTGGAACCAGTTTTCAGTCTATTATTTATACATGATTAATGGTCATAGCTTATTAAGTACAACATGATCGTTTATTTAGTGACTATAATTGTGTGAAACTGATTTGAGGCTTGGCATATATATATAAATATTGTGGCGTAATTGTCGAGATATATGGAGATATTTATTTATGGTGGGTCACCCTAACAATTTGGCCTAAGAGCAATACACATACATGTATATAATAATCATAGGCGTACGAGGGGGGGGGCCGGCTGCCCCCCCATTTTGGGCACCAAATGCTGGGAAAATTTGGGCACAACAATTGTACTTTGTAAAAGTTGTATAAAAAAAAATATTGCGTTCTTGAATGTGTCCAATTTAACAGCGAATTTATTATTATTATGTAACATACTAAGAAACTAACTACATTTTTTGGGCACCAACCACCACCGCCCCCCCAGTCAAAAATTTCCCCATACGCCTATGATAATAATACTATATAAATTACTATGATTGACTTGAGTTGAGATAATGGTGGTTTGTTTAGATCTGGTTAAATCCTGCTACTGTATAAATGATATGAAATGGGGTTTAACGTCCTACTATTCTGTTCCGACTGAGATAAAATGAAGATGGGTATATGACGTACAGTGTGCTATTAGGTGAATTTTGCCCAGACAGTAGGATTTTGACTCTTATTGAATTCCAACGGCCAAGCGATCTTTCTGGAGCATGCCAATGTGTACACAGGACCTTGGTTTTTCGTCCCATCTGAATGACTATACAATGTCCCTTGCTAGGCCCTCTGTCCTGCACCACTGGCACTTATAAGAAGAACCACGTTGGTCACTGGACCATATAGAATAACTAAGTTCTGTAAGCAAAATGAAATGAAATAGGGTTGAAAATAACAAAATTTTCTGTACTTGTAGTCAGTATTATAGCAATCTAATTAAAATATAGATCTATATTTCGTTTTGTTTTTTATACTTTCGATGGCCTGCACTACATGTAGATCTAACAAGTTATAGTGGGACATTTGACCCGATTACGTCAGTTATTCGATTAACCAATTAGCGACCGCCATGTATTTTTTTATCTACTTTTGCTTTGTTTTGATTTCTATTGCCGCTAATGTCTACCCACAGTTCCGCGCAAAAAAGGTCAAACGCTCGATTTGACAGACCATTTGATTGGCTGACCCCTCATTTCAAGCAGAACACGAGTTAAATAACAACGCTTCCAGATCCAAGTGCAGTAAAGACAAGTAAAATCGAATTTTGAACTATAAAAACGAAACGAAATTGAATCTGTGTTTTAATCAGATTAGTATTATAGTTACCATATATATCCTTTACGGCAAGTTCACACCAATCTAATTAAAATTATATCAGCCATCTTCACTCAAAGTCGCAAATATAGACCTCCTGTTAAAATGACATTATCGAAAACACAATTAATACAGCCAGTGTGTGTATTCATTAATGCCTGATTGATTCCGTAATACCCTAAATAAATATAACAATTGACAACACAGAATAATTTGTTTTGTACTTTATTTTAAGATCCAACTTAGAGCTTGTTTTATGATACCTGTACCGTAACAAAGACAGTTGCTGTAGCCATACTCCCCTTGTCCTTTTGATCAGAATAAATTGCTGTAAGCAAACCGTAAACCTGTAGGTCTACAATAATTCGCGGTCTTTGAAAACAGCAAAATGGGTGTACAATTGTTATGAAATCAAGAGAATTAATTGTCGGCTTTTATGAAACAAAATGGTTTCGTGGTGGTAATTCTTGATGTGACCGACAACAATGTTCCATTCCAGAGCAACTGCATTGAATCGCCTTCGTCTCTGGTCGCAACACACCAAAAGAGATGGTTCATTATACTTGAAATCCAGAGATTGGTGCTATCACAGTTTTTCTTTTACAAGTGCCATCAAATCTGTGCTCTTTAATGTCCTATGGCTCTGCTCCGACGGAGCTAATGAAGTCAGGCATATGCCATACAGTGTGCTATGGGAGAAGTTTTCCCCGGATAGCAGTGCTACAACCTACTCTTATAATGAATTCCAACTGCCAAGAGACTTTTTATGTGTACACCAATATGTACACAAGACCTCAGTTTTTCATTCCATTCGAACGACTGGACAGCTGTCCTTGTTGGACCCTCTGTCCTGCATCATTGACTAGAGGAAACCATGCCTGGAAAATCCGGATGAACTTTCTCGGCGAACCCGCGACCTCCAGGCTAGCGAGCAAGCTTCCTCAAAGTTCTATAATGCAACAAACAAAAAACCCAAAAGAAAAAAAGAAATTGGTCGTATAAAGCAACTACCAAAAAACAAAAAAGGGGGCATTTACATTATCTGGAGGATGTCAAATATTGAAAAATTTAGAATTCGTCATATCTTTGTAAATATTCAACAGAACTGAATCCTTATTGGACTGATATTCGTTTCAAAGATTCAACTTTCACAATTACATGTATAAGGATTTCCTCAATTCTACATTTTGTCATTGAGTCAAGTGGCATTGTAGTGTTTCCTCCTGCTGTTAATTATTAGAAGAGCCCTATGCGCATACACAAATTTTAAAAATACAACTGAACCATACATGACCTAGTTTTTGTTAAATGGACATTTAGCCATCTCTTTCTCTCTCTCGCCTTGTCTTCATCCAGATGATTGTTAATTAAATTGAATGAGTATATTTTTTATTTTTGCTGTTTCCTCAAGAGTCAAATGATTTTCAGATTCTTGTTTATCAAGCTTGTTGACCTAATTAATCAACTATTGTTGTAATAGTGGGTGTCTATTATTGAAGGCCTAGATAATATTTGTAAGATAATGTCATCAGAGATCAGTCGAATATAGCAGATAACATATAGCAGAAATATTTGCTACAACTGAATGAGATTAACACATGACACAGCTATATAGAATACAATCAAAAACACACTTTTATGGAATAACAATTACTATGGTTTATTTCACTGCGATGTTTCAACAAGATTCACAAGTCGTTATCAAGCATATACACAAATATGCTTGATAACGACTTGTGAATGTTGTTGAAACGTCGCAGTGAAATAAACCATAGTAATTGTGATTCCATAAAAGTGTGTTTTTGATTATGTTCCATTTACTAAATGCCATTCAAAGACTATATAGAATACAAGTTAATTTCTGGCAACATTTCGACCAGGGTTCTCTTAATAGATAGAGGTTATTTCCCGGTTGTACGTGACAAGGAGTAGAATCGCCTGTCCAACCTTGTGGGTTTTCTCCTGGCCCTCCGGTCCCCCCCCCCCACTGCTTACTGCTAAAGACCCATACGCACAAACAAACTATTGAAATAAAATTGAACCATGTGTTAGTCCTGAAATGACCCAGTTTGTGTCTGTGTCAAGTGGACATTAAACCTCCCTCTCTCTCTCTCTCTCTCTCTCTCTTTCTCTCTCTCTTATAAACCAAACAAACTTAATTGAAATCAAAACATGCGCTATAACTATAATATAAGATTTGACTTTTTGAGTTGCCTCCATTAGTAAAATTAACACTTAAAACAGAAATTTACATACAATTTTTGTGATACCATCTATATAAAAGAATTTACATGGAACATAAAACAGTTGTACTGGTCTCTCTCAACCATGGTAGGGATACTGGGCTGTATCCGGTTTTACCTATCCTAGGAACTGATGTACTGGAGTCAATTTGATTATAGATGTACGTACAGGTAGATGATTAGATAATAAAAGATTATCTGACTTTGATTAATGTGTAGTTTTTTATTTTATATTATTGTAATCATCCCTTGTTATACATGAAACATTAGCGTAATATCAGTCTAGTCCAACAAGTTATCTTTTGTAAACAAACACTGTCTTATTTCTTTTTGTTTAAAGGGACATTATATAAAAAGTTGACTGAACTCCCTATAATAGTTCAAAAAGTAGACAAAGTAGATAGAATATGCTGAAAATTTCAGTCAAATTGCTCCACTCTAAACCAAGATATTTGCTTTTGAATTTTAGGCTATCCTTGATCATCATTACTTAAGTCGGTACGATAAAAAACCAAGTCTTGAATTATCCATTTATCGATATAATTATTTTTCAAAATATGCATTCCAATCCGCTAAATATTGCAGGCTAGCAATGGCATCGAGAGTTGAATATGGTCTAGATAAGTTAATTAATGTCTAATTAATAATTTAGATAACATTTCAAGCCTAAAGAAAGATCTGCTCTTACATATTGTCTGCGATATCACCTCGGTGGAAGCGGACGTAAAATACAACTAACTCATCATCATTACATAATGTCTGTTCAACCACAGAGAGAGTGAGTAGCCTAGCCTGGTAAATTTTAACTTGATGATTCGCTTGCAGGTAGGGGTGTTTAGCTGCAGGAGGAAACCAAGGGATCTATAGAAAACCAAAAAGGTTAACCCTTGAAAGTTGGAATTCCATGAAGAGGAAGCAGAAACGATGCTGTCCGGACAAAATTCCCCTCATAGCTCACGGCATGTCGTATGTCTGAATTTATTAGCCTGGTTCGTGCAGGACATTACAACATTTAGCCCCATTTCATTCCATTATTCAATGAAACCGAAACTTTGTGATTTTTCAAAATCTGTTCTCCCTTGTCAGGGGTAGTACCTTTGTGGAATGTACGTCAAGTCGAAATAAGAGTACATGTAGGCCGTAGCATGTCACACTGTATGGAGTATGCCAGTTGTCATTAATCCAGCTCGTCCAGAAAGATGTTAGACCCCAAATTCATTTCAGTTCTGTCCAGCAAAGACCTTGAACACCCCATTTCATTTAATATCCAAAATTCCAAAAGTGTTATGCTTTGCTTGATCACTGATCAATCCCCTATTTTACAGACCCAAAAAGACCCAATTCTTAAGTTTAGTAAATAATACTTGTTGTTTATTTATTCAGCAATGGTAGCCAAGGTAACAGAAGAGGTAATGGAGGAGAAGCAGAGTTGTCTGACCCAAATGAGAGAATAATAAGGTATTAAATATAACATATAAGATTATGTGTGGTTTAGTGGTCGCGAGCGAGACATTAAGTAATTTATTGAAATAAAACGAGGGAGTCAGTCCCGAGCTGTTTTTTCAATATATTACGCAATGTCTTAAGCTTAAAACAATTAATCAACTTAAAATACAGACACTCACATGTACTTTGTAATGAAATATGTCACACTGGTCCAAAATTTAAACTAGTATAAATAATGTACGCTTGGCACATTGCCCGTACCATTATTTGAAATAATGTACGCCAACATCAAAGGATGAGGTCACATCTGTATTTTAAGACAAATGAACTCCTTAATGAGTTGTGGAATCAGTAGTGGTACAGTGTAGGCAAGATTAGATCTTTGTGATACCATGGGGGTAGTTCGGAAACAATCCTCTGAACACAATTCCATATTATAGTAAACCCCTGAATTAAACCAGTTTATTGCTTAGGGATACTGTGAAAGCTTGTTGAAGCAGCAAGCAATTAGTTGGCAAACACTGACAACCAGTGGTCTGTCGAAATCGCAGCAACATGTGTGCACTTAGAGCTATTTGTAAAACTACTGGTTTATTGCTTGGTAATTACTAGTGAAGCTACTAGTAATAATTGTTTAACATGATTAAAATGGGGTTTAATGTCCTACAACAATGTTTGTCGTCCTTGGATCCGAAGGTCAAGGAACCAAGCCAAACTGAGGACAGAGTCAGACCGCAACATCAGTGTTCTCACATTTACTCTACCATCACTGTGTAATTAAAACAGTTCCTCTTCACAATTGAGGGCAATTTATCTTTAGACTCTGCAAAATTTCTGTATTACAAACTTTATGTAACACATCACACAAATACATGTATATGGAATCAAAATTACTTAGAAGTTTATTTCTGGCAACGTTTCGAGGACCCTTCTCTCATCTTTATCATGCTAAACGAGAGAACCCTCGTCGAAATGTCACCAGAGATAAACTTCTCGGTAACTTGTATTATATGTAAATGTGTCATGTGTTATTCTCAGTCAGTTATTAAATGCTGCTTAAACAATTTAAACTTTATGTAACGGTAACTTCTGTTGATAAGACGATATTCTCTTCCTTCAGACATCCAATACAGTATTATTCTATAAATAGACCAACTGAAATTGAGGCTAGTGTGGACAGACAAACGGAAGCAGCTGTACACAGATATAAATATTATAATAGGCTAGCTGCTCAGAGTAATGGACCACTAGTAAGTTAGACTGTACAATATAAATATTATGATAGGCCAGCTCCAGAGGGTAATAGACCACTAGTAAGTTAGGCTATACAATATAAATATTATAATAGGCTAGCTCCACAGTAGACCATACAATATAAATATTATAATAGGCTGGCTGCTCAGAGTAATGGACCACTAGTAAGTTAGATTATAGGATCGCTCCACAGAGTAATGGACCACTAGTCAGTTAGACAATACAATATAAATATTCTGGGGGTTGGATGACCGAATGGTTAGCAGGTGCATGCTGTAGCATTCCTAGATCAGATTGCTAGGTTCCATGTACATATTTTCTAACATATGTGTATTTATTAATATTGAGATATATTTGTTTATATTGAGATATATTTATTTATATTGAGATATATTTATTTATATTAAGATATATTTGTTTATATTAAGATATATTTATTTATATTGAGTTATATATTTATTTATTTTATAGGACATGCCAGATCATGTTGTACCAGCTAATTTTACTATTAAAGTTTATGTACCAGTTACAGGTCAACAGAGTAGTCTTATAACTATGTAAGTAGACAAAAGCCTTGTTGGCGTAGAGGGGGGGTTGGATGGTTGGCCGAATGGTTAGCGCATGCGCATTGCATCATAATGTCTGTCATTGAGTCAACTGGGGTGGTTTCGATTCCCCGGTTGTACTAACAGGGAGTAGGGTCATCTGTCCAACCTCATGGGTTTTCTCCGGTTCCCTCTACTGCTAAAGACCTCTACGCACAAGCAAATTATTAAAATAAATTTAACCATATGTTAGTCCCAAAATGACCTGATTTGTGTTGAGTGGACGTTAAACCCCATTTCTCTCTCTCTTTCTCTGTTGGCGTAGAACAATAAGACCGTAATTCTAGTGCTGGCACGACATAACGTTGTATTCATGTATCGTGATTCACCTCCTCACGACTCACGTATTGAATTGCGGGACGCTGAATCGATGTATTGTGATTCTTTTTTGATAATTTTTTTTTTGTTAATTATCCACTCTTAAATTGTTTTGGTCCTTATTTTGATCCACTTCAATGTCATGATATAAAAACAGTTATGATACGATCTAAATAAAACTTGGCTTGTGTTTGTTCCTTGAACAATTGACATGACATAACAATTTCAAGATGGCTGGGGGGGTTGGATGGCTGAATGGTTAGCGTGCGCGCGCTGTATCATAAAGTCTGTCATTGAGTCAACTGGCGTGGTTTCGAATCCCCGGTTGTACGTGGCAAGGAGTAGGGTCGCCTGTCCAACTTCGTGGGTTTTCTCCGGGGCCTCCGGTTTCCTCCCACTGCTAAAGACCCCTACGCGCAAGCGAATTATGTAAATAAAGTTAAACCATATGTTAGTCCCGAAATGACCTAGTTTGTGTTGAGTGGACGTTAAACCCCATTTCTCTCTCTTTCTCTCAAGATGGCTGCCTCGGTTCATGGTTCATAGTACACTCATACTTGTTTTTGAATTCTCTACTAATGTTGTATATATTTAAATATGTTTTACAGTTTTTCGCTGTGGAATACGATGATGGGGACGTCTTTACTCAGCATGCCCTGGGCTATAAAACAGGTTGGTTTCAATATTTTGTGGACGCCCTAGAGGCTAAATTTATATTTATACATCGTGTTTATGCCTATATATAAACTTTTCGATTGACTTTGGCTTGATACACAGATTTTAAGATCTTGAAACGAACAAGTATATTGATTTTCAATGGTTTTTGATCATTTGAACAGCTAAATGTTTCGTATGCTAAACGTTCTCGTGGGCCAAACAAATTTTAATGATTTTCTGATAATTACTTTATGAGTTGTTACTCTAAAATCAGATTTTAGTGTATTATAAATGTTTCATTACCAACAAAAGTAAAAATATGCGACAACTCTTGTTGACTGCCCGGATGATTTCGCTGCTCTGGGCGTATGTTTTGTAGTCTGGCACCCTATCTTTATATTGTAGGCAGGTTTTGTATGTGGTATAGTGTTACTGATCTTTATGGCAGGAGTCATGCTGTATACAAGTTACAGAGTTCTCAAATCTGTTGATGTTTTAAGTAAGTATTATGGGGAGCAGGTGGCCGAATGATCTTGGGCTATATTTTAGATATTAAGATCTTTTATTGAGTCAAGTGACATGGTTTTGCTTCCCAGCTTGTTCATGATAAGGAGTCAGCTTGCCGGTCTAACTGAATAGTTAAAGACAGTCTGTCATTGAGTCATGTGGCGTGGTTTTCATTCCCCCCTTGTATGTGACAGGGAGTAGGGTCGCCTGCCCTACCTTGTGGGTTTTCTCCCACTGCTAAAAGACCCCTGCACGCAAACAAATTATTGAAATATAATTGAACCATGTTATTAGTCCCGAAATGACGTGGTTTGTGTCGAGTGGTTTGTGTCGAGTGTGGATGTTAAACCCTCTCTCTCTCTCTCTTTCTCTCTCTCTCTCTCTCTCTCTCTCTCTCTCTCATTAGCTCGGTTGGTGCAAAAAAGTAGGGCTTGAAACTCCATTTCATTTCATGTATAATTCATTGCCATATACATGTATAATACTCACCCAATTCTTATTCCAAGAATTCAGGTAAGAATTGATGCTGGTCGTCCTCAAGTACAGCAGCTGAATCACACACTATGTAGACCAGGGATTTAAATCACAATCCAGTTTATATTCATGTACTGCCATGTACACTATACTTGTATGTATTTATATGTTACAGAGGGTAAAGTAGATGTCTTGGAGTTCTCTGATGTTTGTAAACATTATTTTGGTAAAACAGGAGAATTGGTAGCAGTTATCTGTTCTTTATTAACTCTACTGGGTGGAATGATTGTATACTGGATTCTAATGTCAAACTTTTTATATCACGTTGTTTCATTTATACATGGTGAGTTGTCTCCCCCTTGTATCATATTTAGGGGATGCTCGATTGAACGTTCCGGGATTGAATTCTGTCAAACCCAAAAATAGTGACAATCGAGTGAATATGGGATTTTGGACTAGAAAATTATTGGACTGCATGAGAAAATATCTCAACCAACCATGACATCTGAAACATATTCATTAGGTTTAATTACATCACGATTCTACTTACACCACCTCTGTTGTTGGGACTGACAGAACTGTGACAGGACTGAATTCTGTGTCACTCGATTGCAATTCCGTCAATTCGGAGCATTCTGGACAGACAATTGAGCACCCGCTTTATCTCTCAACAACTATATATCACGTTGTATCATTTATATATCGCGTTGTGTCATTTATAAAGTTATAGTTAGCCAATGGTCTGATTAGAGTATTATGGTGTTTGTTATAATATGGCTTGTGCTCAAGAGTGGCTGTTATTATAAGTGACTGGTTAATTGAGACTGCCTTACACTAGACAAAAGAGGTTCTAAGCTCACAGTTACAATGGGGGGTTGGATGGCCAAATGATTAGCATGTGCACGCTGTATCATAAGGCCTGTCAATGAGTCAACTGGTGTGGTTTCGATTCCCTGGTTGTACGTGACAAGGAGTAGGGTCCTCCAGTTTCCTTGCACTGCTAAAGACCCCTACGTGCAGGGGAATTATTGAAATAAAATTGAACTGTGTGTTAGTCCCGAAATGACCTAGTTTGTGTCTAGTGGAGTTAAACCCCCTCTCCCTCTCTCTCTCTCCCTCTCTCTCTTTCTCCCTCCATCTCTCTCTCTCAGTTATATGTGAGTCAGAGTGGGGGATGATAGTATTTAGGAAGAGCATGTTGTTAAGAGAAGGAGATTCATCTGCATTTTCCAACATGGTGCAGGACGGAGGGCCTGACAAGGACAGCTGTCTAGTCATTTGGATGAAACAAAAAATCCGAGGACCTGTGTATACATTGGCGTGCATGTGAAAGATCCCTTGACAGTTGGAATTCGATATAAGAGTAGGCCGTAGTGCAGCTGCCGGGCAAAATTTCTCTCATAGTACACTGTATGGCGTATGCCCGTCTTCATTAGTCCAGTCGGAGCAGAACAGTAGGACGTTAAACCCCATTTCATTTCTACCCTGTGGTGAAATACAAGGGAAGTAAATCTCTTTTGTGTATTTTTTCTATTTTCAGATCATGCTGTGAATAATTTTAACACAACAACTTTGGTTAATCTTACAAAATATTCAGATGGTTAGTGATCAACTTTTATCAACTATTATCTCTCATATTGTGGAGGGGGATCACGGTGGCTAAGTGGGTGAGACGCTGGCTCGCTAGCCTGGAGGTCGTGTGGTTGAGAAAGTGCATCTAGATTTTCCGGCGTGCTTCCCCCTTGTCAGTGATGCAGGACGGAGGGCCTGACAAGGACAGCCGTCTAGTCGTTCGGATGGGACTAAAAACTGAGGTCCCGTGTACACATTGCCGTGCACTTAAAATATCCCTTGACAGTTGGAAGTCGATATAAGAGTGGGTTGTGGTGTTGCTGTCCGTGCAAAATTTCCCTAATAGCACACTGTATGGCGTAGCCCAGTTCGGAACAGAACAGTAGGACATTAAACCCCATTTCATTTCATTTCATATTGTGGATGACCACAGTGGTTAATTTTACAACCATTCAGTTAAGACTGGCAAATAAAGTTTGTACTAATGATATGGCTTATTTACACCAAAAGGTGCGTGGCCGTCACTATTCCATAGGTAGTTAATTGGGTATTTTTTGTTCATTTTTTTCCTGTACCTTATTTCGTAGAAAAGTAGGATTTTAGAAATAAGGTTCAGTCAATCTGGTTAAAACACAGATCCTATTTCGGTTTTTTTTTATAGTTCAAAATTTTGTTTTACTTGTCTTTACTACACTTGGATCTGGAAGAGTTGTTATTTAACTCGTGTTCTGAATGGTGTCAGGGATAAGCCAATGAAACGGTCTGTTACAGCGAGCTTTAGGCATGTTTTTCACTGAACTGTGGGTAATCCACTAGTAACATCAATGCTGATTGGTTAATCAAATGTCTGACGTCATAGGTCAAAAGTCGGTCTTTTGACCCCTGACGTGACCTATCGCTATAACTTGTCAGATCTTCATGTAGTGCAGGCCATCGAAAGTATAAAAAAACAAAACGAAATATAGATCTGTATTTGAATCAGATTGAGGTTCAGTAAGACAATGTCCAAAAATTAGGCATAAATTAGTGTAGGTAGGAAGAAATACTATTTATGAGTTAACTGTTCTGAAATACCCAGATAAATTTCCAAAGAAAAGAAGAATTTCTTTACGCCTGCATTCAGCACATGTATGTAATGAGAGAGCGAGAGAGAAATGGGGTTTAATGTCCACTTGACACAAACTAGGTCATTTCGGGACTAACATATGGCTTTAATTTTATTTCAATAATTCACTTGCACGTAGGGGTCTTTAGCGGTGGGAGGAAACTGGAGGACCCAGAGAAAATCCACGAGGTTGGACAGGTGACCCTACTCCTTGTCAGGTACAACCAGGGAATTGAAACCACACCAGTTGACTCAATGACAGACCTTATGATGCAACGCACATGCGCTAACCATTCGGCCATCCAACCTCCGCTTGTCATGTACAACCTGGGAATCAAATGATTATAAATTACTTAATTATCAAGATTTACTTTTTATTCTTTTCAGCTGTTTGTCCGAAGGCCTCGATTCCAGAAAATTCAACATTTGGATATTCCGAGACGCATGTTGGGGATTCCCTAAATGAAGGAAATTTCTATAAAATCTGGGATGAACAGATGACCGTACCATTTTTCCTCATCCTCGTTCTTTTTCCCATCATTAATTTTAAATCTCCGACGTTTTTCACAAAGTTTAACGCATTAGGTAATTATAAGTAATTTTCTGGTCGGTAGAAATTGTAATGAAATGTCCATCTTCATTAGTCGAGTCAGAGCAGAACAGTAGGATGGTAAATCTCATTTCATTTAATAATGTGTTCTTGGGACTTCGGTTTTTCCTTCCATGTGAACGACTAAACAGCTGTCCTTGTCAGGCCCTCTGTCCTGCACCACAGACAAGGGGAAACCACTCTGGGAAATCCCAATAACATGGCATTTGTTCATCTTCATCTTCACTCTTTATTGTAGGTAAACATAGAAAAGAAACATAATTTTAACTTTCTTTATAATGATAATTCCCCTCTGTTTGACGGAGCAGATATTTGGTCAGCAGTGGACGTACCTGTTATAATATATAATGTATGTCTGTTTCATGGACAGAGGGGGGTGAATGGCTGATTGGTTAGCACATGCGCGCTGTATTATTAGGTCTTGTCATTGAGTCAACTGGCGTGGTTTCGATTCCCCAGTTGTACCTGACAAGTAGTAGGGTCGCCTGTCCAACCTTGTGGGTTTTCTCTGGGTCTTCTGGTTTCCTCCCACTGCTGTGTGTTAATCCCGAAATGACCTAGTTTGTGTCAGGTGGACGTTAAACCCCATTTCTCTCTCTCTCTTTCATGGCCAGAATTAAATGTATTTGTTAGATTTTGAATTGTTTATGTATTATTTTCAGGAACTGTGTCTGTTGCTTATTTGTTTGTTTTTGCTGCTGTTAAAGCAGCGAAATGGGGAATCCATCTTGATTTTAATTCTGTTAATTCTGTTTTACCTGACTACACCACAGGTAAGTTTTTTTTATCAAAATCATTGATAAATCTCAGCAAAGATATTGCTCTTTATTTCAAGGTAGCTGCGGTGGCTCAGTGCGTAAGACACTTGCTCGCTAGCCTGGAGGTCTTGAGTTCGCTCCCGTTGTTTGCCGAGAAAATTCCTTTGGATTTCTAGGTTTGGTTTTCCCTAGCATCTAGTTGATAGGATGGAACAAATAACGGAGGTCCTGTGTACACACTGGCGTGCACATAATAGTATGCTTGACAGTTGGAATTCGAAATAAGAGTAGGCCGTAGCAAGGCTGTCCCAGCAAAATTTCTCTCATAGCAAACTGGATGGTGTGTGCCAGTCTTCATTAGTCAAATCAGTATAGACAATTAGGACATTAAACCCCATTTCTTTATTCCTAGCTTCAATTTAGGAAGAGTCACACTAATGGATTGATCCTTCAAGACCGATCCTAGTGAAAGTTTTAAAGGATAAGTCTCGTAGGTTGAATTTGATGTCAGCAATTTTAATAATAAAAAGAAGTGCTGGTCAGTTTGTAGGCCAAGAAAACTGAGATCTGACTGATAGATTTTATGGTTTACAATGAAAGGATTTGGTTTATAGACGTAAATCCACCATTGTGACTCAGCCTATAGCCAGATCAAAATAAAATGGATTGAAAATGGGATTTATCTCCCCTTTGACCATTTGCCTGGTGTTGGCTGAGAGAGTTACTTGGTCAGTCGGTCAGATGTTGCGCTAAAACCAGTGTCCCATGTATACTATTGGCAATGGGAACTAGGTTTGAATGATTACAAAGATTTTTTCAAGACTCTGCCCTGATAAGAATTCAAAACTTAGACATCCTAGCTGAGAGTTATATATTGTGGCCTTCCAAGAAAGAGAAGCACTTTCTTCTTTGCTAGCTTTTGTTAAAGGACCAATCCCGATAATATTTTAGAGAATAAAACTGCTTAATTTTGTGTTAAAACCCCTTAAAATCCTCTAGCTAAGGGCCGAGCAACTAACTCAATATTTGTGATACGGTTTCAAACAACTTATACCGTCAGTCTTCATCTGGAAAGGAGACCATTGTCCCAAGCTGTATTATTTTATTTTATAAAAATAATGTGTAGGTGAAATTTACCTTTCGTTATCTAGTACAACACATGGGTCATTCACTGTATAGACCTCTAAAGGAACAGGAATAGACTATCAGGTCATCCAATGACAAAATTGACCCGCAAACTTGTTACGGATAAGTATTTTTGATGTTCACATCCAAATGACTCAATATTGTGAGCTGAAATTTTGAGACAAGGTAAATACATCATTCCTCTATATTTTCACACTTAAATTTCATACGTACTCAGACTTTTATTTTTGAGACTCTGTTCAATTTGGGATAGTCCCTTTAATGTTATGTTGGTAAGTTAATTAATTGTATATTATATTTTATTATTTTCAGATTTTAAAATGACATTCCCTGCATTAACGGGTATTTCAGCATTAGCTTATTTTGTACAGAATTGTTGTATATCCATTACACGAAACCAAAAAAATCCACAAAATAATGTAAGTACCTGGGCCCTTATTCACGAAAACTGAAACTAAGATACAATCGAAATTTTAAGAAATACTGCAATTCGATTGGCTGACCAGTAAAATCAATTTCCTCCCACTGCTAAAGAATTATTGAAATAAAATTGAATCATATGTTAGTCCCGAAATGACCTAGTTTGTGTTTAGTGGACTGAATCTTGGTGTTTTAATTATTTTAGAGATCCTGCTTTAACAATATTGTAGTTTGAAAGGGATTAATGATTCTTAAAATGTCAATCACAGACCTCAATTAGTACTTGTACGTTACCAAGAATAAAGGTTCAGTCCTCAGACACTCCTTTCTCATTTAGACCGGATATGTTCAATAGTGATTCTCGATATATAAAATAATAGCGATATATTGGTCCAATACTCCTTCGAGATAGGGTATGTGTTGGATGGCCGAATGTTTAGCTTGTGCACGTTGTATCATAGGGTCTGTCACTGAGTCAACTGGCGTTGGTTTCACTGCTAAAGACCCATACGCAAACGCAAATTATTGAAATAAAATTGAACCATATGTTATTCCCGAAATGATCTTGCCCACTTTCTTTTTTGAGAGATTCAAAATCCCTCAAATTATGACAAGTGGTTTTAATATTATGATTTAATCTTGTCATATGGTCATTATGAAACAAACTAATCATAATTTATGTTTATTTTTAGATACGAGATTTAACGATAGCGTATTTGTTAGTATGTGGAACGTATGTTTATATGGGTGTCATTTTCTATTCCTCATTTCCACTCGCCAAATCTTGTATTGAAGATGTAAGTATGAATTACACCCAATTTGAATCTCCTTAGGGCCCATCTCAAAATCTCAACATTTGCCCACCTGCTTATCTACGAGGACGAAGTAAGATAATGTTGATATATTTACTATCATGATTCAGTATTAAATAACAGACATTTATCATTTTGTATCCGCATGTCGTTCAACCCACTTACCCGCTTTCATCAGTTATTCGTTTGGACGCAAGTGTTTCAATTTGCGACAGTTCTTTAAAGGAAACCATTTTGGCTCAGTAATCAGAGAGCCCTGGGTTTGATCTCAGCTTAGTTTCCCCCCTTTTCAGATTTGACAAACAAACAAGACCCAGTGTACATGTTGGCGTGCACATAAAAGAACCCTTAACAGTTTGAATTTTATTAAGATTAGTGTATAAATGGTCCCACAATAACATGGGTATAGTCCTAGTGTATGATATATAAAGTGTCCCACTATAACATGGGTATAGTCCTAGTGTATGATATATAAAGTGTCCCACTATAACATGGATATAGTCCTAGTGTATAATATACTATTCAAAAAAAGTAGGGGATATTTGATTTTTAAGTGTTATTAAAGTCACCTAATGAAACTGACGAAGAAACAAATGACAAAATGAAATGAAGTTCACATTCATCGATTTATTCCAAATGATCGTTAGACTAAGTAAGGCACAGACTGACCATTATAAGGGTAAAATGATACCCGGGGTCAAACAGCAAAGTTACCACAGCATCACAACCAAGTCAGTAACGGGTAAATCCTCCTCTGTTTGCCAAACAAGCATTGATCCGACGTGGCATACTCCTAATGAGACGTCTAAGGTCATTTTGGTCCAGATTGTCCCATTCCTGTTGCAACGCAGCAGCAAGTTCTTAGACATTGGCAGGACGTTGTTGACGTTGACGTAACCTCCATCCAAGCATGTCCCAGACATGCTCGATGGGGGAGAGGTCGGGACTCAGTGCTGGCCAAGGTAATGTGGTGATGTTCTGTTGTTGGAGGTAACCTGTAACGATCCTGGCCCTGTGACATCTTGCGTTGTCATCCTGGAAGATGAAACGGCGGCCATGACGTCGTGCGAACAGCACAACATGGACTGCCAAGATGTTGTCCCGGTAGTACTGGCCTGTAACACGCCCTGCAACAACATGTAAAGCCGTTCTTCCAGCAACAGTGATGCCTCCCCACACCATAACAGAACCACCCCCAAATCGATCATGTCTGATGACGTTAACGTCTTGGAAGCGCTCGTTTCGACGACGCCACACCCTCCTACGTCTGTCCAAAAAATCAACAGTGAACCTTTACTCATCTGAAAATATCACTTTGCTCCAGCGTCGATTATCCCAGTGTTGACGATCCCTACACCAACGACGTCTTGCCTGAATGTGATGATCTCGCAAACAAGGGATCACGCGAGGACGTCGGGCGCGAAGGTGACCCCTATGCAGTCGATTCCGAATCGTCTGGCCACTCACTCTCACACCAGTGTCTGTTTGAAGACGAGCGCTGATCTGATTTGCTGTGATGACACGATTTCTCAAGGCCAAGGTACGGATAAATCGATCCTGAGCTTGAGTTGTCGCCCTTGGTCGACCTGAGCGTCGTCTGTCCTGTACAGATTGTGTATCACGGTATCTGGACCATAGCCTGCTTATGACAGACTGAGAAACATTCATCGTCCGCGCCACAACCGACTGTGTTGTGCCGATCTGTAGCATGCCAAGGGCACGTAACCTTTCATTTTGGGTAAGCCGACGCATATCAAAATTTGTTTTCTGGTCACTAAAACAATTAAACTGATGTTTCCACCCTGGAATTCAATGCCACAATGACTGTAACATTCAAAGTCAGAGTCGTGCAAATCTTGGGTTGGACCCCCATGATGATCCCAAGCATCACCTGCATTCCATGCGGTAGCTATTGGTGCGTTTGGGCGTCACATGTAACTGGAAATGTTTCTTCTGTTAGGTTCTATAGTGACTTTTTTCGTAGTCATTTGAATATTTTAGTATTATGCCCCCAAAATCAAATATCCCCTACTTTTTTTGAATATTATATATAAAGGGTCCCACTATAACATGGGTATAGGACTATACACATGTTATAGTGAGACCCTTATGTTATACATTAGGACTATATATATACCCACGTTATAGTGGGACTCTTTATATATCATACACTAGGACTATACCCATGTTATAGTGGGACACTTTATATATCATACACTAGGACTATACCCATGTTATAGTGAGACACTATATAAACATGGGTATAGTCCTAGTGTATAATATATAAAAGATCCAACTATAACACTATACGAATGTAATTTGTAGACCAAATAGCATTGATCAGCACTATTACAAATTTTCTTAATGAACTTTTGTTCTTTTTGTAATATTTCAGAATTTATTAAATAATATAGAAACTAATGACATCATGGCATTTGTGGCAAGAATTGGTCTGTTTTTCCAAATGCTGTGTGTTTTTCCTTTGTTGATATTTATACTACGGTTACAGTTCATGCATTCTGTATTTGGTTCCGTCTGGCCAAGGTGAGTTTTTGGTTAAACAATCAAGGAATCATCAACTATTTACATTCATAATTATGCTGGAATTGTATACATTTTGTACATGATATTGCATCGGCAAATCAATATGCCACACCAGGGTCTCCAGCTCTTCTGAAGCTAGCAGACGGTCTGCAATATCACCTTAGTGGAAGGGGATGTTAAATAAACTTATTTCACTCATTGCATCGTTGGTCGAGTAATTTCATCTAGATTTTCCGACATTATTTCCTCTTGTCAGTGGTGCAGCACGGAGGGCCTGACAAGGACAGCTGTCTAATTGTTTGGATGGGATGGAAAACCGAGGTGCTGTGTATACATTGGAGTGCACGTAAAAGATCCCTTGGTAACTGGAATTTGATATAAGAGTAGGCCTTAGCGCCACTGTCAGGGCAAAATTTCCCTCATAGCACACTGGCGTATGTTCGTCTTCATTAACCCAGTCTGAGCAAAACAGTAGGAAGTTAAACTCCATTTCATTTCATTTTCTCATTGCATCAACAAAACATTCTACAATATTTGATGTAAAGTCACTGGTCATCATTTTAAGGATTGGGGAATCCCCTGTAAACTACTATTGTTAATGATTAATGATTCTGGCTTGAGGGATTCATTAACATACATTATGCAAGAGCTAAATCTGCCTATTGCTGGTCTTTCTTTAGGCTTGAAATGTTATCTAAATTAGACATTGATTAACATGACAAGACCATAATCAACTCTCTAGGTCATGGGATGGCTCTGATTTTAAGTAGATTAGAACGATTTGGCCATTTAATGATTTAATTTAAAAATGGAGAAGCGAGTACCCTGGTTACTATAATAACAATCGATGCACACATCTTGTTAATAAAGCAACAGACATTGATACCTTGGGTCAGAATAAAGTAATTTGAATGAAATTTTCAATCAGAATAGAGTAATTTTAATGAAATGTTCAATATGTTGATTTTGCATTATCTATTTTTTAACTATTATAGCAAGAACGACCAGCTCTTTATCTAAATCTTACATAATGCATCTTTACTGTTAGAATTTACAAATTAAAGATGCATTATTATATGTTTTAGCTCTTACATAATGCATCTTTAATATGCATATTCAACAATTAATATGATTGAAGGATGATCCAATGAGGACAAATTATTGTGGTTTGCATAGAATTGTAATTATTTTAATTATTATTTTTCAGTTTAAAACATGTATTGGTGTTAAATGTTGTATTAATTGGTGTCTGTATCATCTTCGCCATCTTTTTACCTCATATTGGTAGAATTATTGGGTAAGTCTATTTTTTACATCTTTATTTTTACCTCATTTTGGTAGAATTATTAAGTATATATATTTTACCTCATTTTGTTAGAATTATTGGGTAAGTCTACTTTTTACCTCATATTGGTAGAATTATTGGGTAAGTCTATTTTTACATCTTTATTTTTACCTCATTTTGGTAGAATTATTAAGTATATATATTTTACCTCATTTTGGTAGAATTATTGGGTAAGTCTATTTTTACCTCATTTTGGTAGAATTATTGAATATATATATTTTACCTCATATTGGAAGAATTATTAGGTAAGTTTCGTTTACTTTGCTTTGCTTTGTTCTCGTATATTTTACGTTTGTTTGAAATTTGAAAATAGACCAAAAATTGATCATTCTAGTTAAATTAAAATATTCAAAAAGCATTCAAATAATGCCTATAGCCTTAAGATTTACAGGACCTCCAGCCAAGGTGTGTAATACTTTTAACACTGTCACAAGCCTTTGTTAGACACAATGTAGCCTTAAACATCCGTCATCATATGCTAGACATTACTCTATTGTGTTTTTTAAAAACTTTCATCTTCCTCTAGTCATGAAGGGGGGGGGGGGGGTGAACGTGACAAGGAGTAGGGTCATCTGTCCAACCTAGTGGGTTTTCTCTGAGTAGTCTGGTTTCCTCCCATTGCTGAAGACCCCTATTGAAATAAAACTGAACCATGTGTTAGTCCCAAAATGACCTAGTTTGTGTCAGACACAGATTAGGGATCAAATTTATTTAAAAATGTATTATGTCAGAGGTCTTTTGTCTGGCTTCAAATGTTATATAGAATTATTATTTAGACATTTATTCAACTATAATCAATTCTAGGGAACGATCGGATGGCTGAGATTTAAATGGATTTGAACATTTTAATTTAACGATACAATGGATAAACAAGACTTAGCCTCAGTTGTCAAGTACCACAGTTATGATAATAAACAATTACCGCTACATCTTTCAACACTCACAATTTCGCTCAATATAAATGAAATTTTCAATATATTCACTTTTCTTTATCTATTTTGGAACTCTCTCTCTCTCTCTCTCTCTCTCTTTTTCTCTTCATGAGGGTGGGAGATTGGGTAGGGTCTCATAAGTGGAATAGCCTAAGGCCTAAGGGATTGTCCGAGAACCAGAATATTTTTTATTGTATGGCCTTAAACTGGTTTGTTATGAATTTCAGATTTGTTGGTGCCTTCTGTGGGTTTTCCTACGCTATTTGTCTCCCTTGTTTGGTGTATTTAAAGGCCTGTTATCGTGAAGATGGAGGGCTAAAGTTAACATGGCTGAAGACAATTTTCCACGGCTTTCTGATCCTGATGGGCCTGGGAAATTTTATTGGACAGTTTTTAATCATTGGACATACAACATAACAGGATCTCAATCATGGGGTCGGATTATGGTTTGAGCTTTAAGGGCTGAAGTTCAGGAGCCTTCAGCACCTGCTGGAGGACCTCCTAGTATTTAACTGGATGTGAATGTAATCCTTGAGTGGCATTTAAGGATTATGCATAATAGAAACACAATGAAAATGAAATATAGAAGAGAGCACTTGTGGAAACATCATCCTTTATCACCCAATAATACATTCTACAGTAGATATCGCTTGTGTGATATATTTCATAATCTACTGCGATATCTCCTTAGGAGATACCGCTTTACATGAATTTGATTGGTCAGTTAAAAAGAAACTACTTTTTTTATTTTCAAAAAAACAGTTCATTTTTTATTAAAAGTACCTTCTTTTTTATTAAAAATAAACAATTTTTATTAAATTGACCTTGATGGAAACACTGGGTCAATATAAAGGACTTTGCAATGGTTGAATTGCTGTCAAAAAATGATGTATCACTACGCCGTAATGTAATCAGGTTCAGTAAAAGTGAAATCTATAGCAAAGAATTATATTTATTTATTTGTGCATGTAAGAAAGGATTGGGTGATAAATAAAATCTCCAACTCGTCCTTTTTGATACCAAAAAAGACTCGTAGGAGATTCTCTATATATGTACAAACTAGTGATTGTTTTCCATATAAATTGTGTTATATTTTTAAGGATTTTCATCAGGGTTAGATAAAGGCACTTACTTTAAGGGCGGCAGTCGAGGGCACTCAGTCAGATCAAGGTCCTCCAAATAATAAGTGAAAAAGTTATTTTATTGGTAAAAGTTGAATCAATGCATAGATACATATATTCTACATTAACTATATAAAAAATGGCTCAATGAATATTCATGTATATATTTGTTGAAAACGTACTAGGGCAATACTAGAGCAAAACGAAACATTCTACTGTATCAACTGTTACCTCGCATTTACTATGGTAATAATCTAGTGTATTTTCCCCATTTTAAGGGTGTTTTAGAAGATCAGAAAGAAAAATAGATTATTAGAAGATTTTATGAAGTTTGTATATCGTCAAATTGTCAAATCTAGCATAGTTTGCGAAATTCACTTTTTTGCTTCTTCAGAATGAGAATTTACTTGTCATTTTATTGAAAATGTGCTACGGCAATACTATGGTAAAAAAAAACAACCCAAACACTCTACTGTATTCAGGGGGTGGTCGGTCAGTAAAAAATTTCTGTAGCCTAGGTCCCTACAAGATAGGCTCAGATCGCAATGTCCGGTAGACTCAGATCGCAATGTCCGGACAGAGTATCTTGGTTACTGTTATTAATTGTTTGAAATAGCATTATGTTTTAACAGATTATAACAGTTTATATCACTGTAATCTGGGTATCATTTAATCTTGTGTATTTAGCACTAACTTCTTTCACATTCATTCAATATCAAATCTTTGTTTAAAAATGTTACTGTAATCCGGGTATTATTTAATCTTGTGTATCTAGCACTAACTTCTTTCACATTCATTCAATATCAAATCTTTGTTTAAAAATGTTACTGTAATCTGGGTATTATTTAATCTTGTGTATCTAGCACTAACTTCTTTCACATTCATTCACTATCAAATCTTTGTTTAAAAATGTTACTGTAATCCGGGTATTATTTAATCTTGTGTTTCTAGCACTAATTTCTTTCACATTCATTCAATATCAAATCTTTGTTTAAAAATTTGTAAAAATCATTTAAAATCACCTAAATCATCTAATTTGTACTTGTGTCCAGTTTAAAGCTGACCATTCAATTTTTATGAGTGTCCAATTTACAAGTGTTTAATTTCTCGATCACTGTTAGGAAATAAATAACTCAATTGATCATTGATGTATAATGATTAATTTTCGTACAGTGGTCACAAAATTAAATACTTGTAAATTGGACACTCATTATCAAAATTAACTAGTGTGTAGATGTTTGCCATGGTCAAGTGGTCAGAAAATCCACGAGGTTGGACAGACGACCCTACTCCTTGTCACGTACAACCGGAGAATCGAAACCACGCCAGTTGACTCAATGACAGACTTTATGATACAGCGTGCTCATGCTAACCATTCAGCCATCCAACCCCCCTGTACAGAAATGTAAGACATTAAACACCATTTCATGATTTTATGGATATTTGCAGCCATTATTTAATTTCTCTCCATTTAGAGACAGAGACAGATTAACCTCCACTCAACACAAACTAGGTCATTTCGGGACTAACATATCCTGGGAGGAAACAGGATCTCTGATTAAAAAAAAAAGAAACCAAAACCAAAATATTAACAGTAGATGATCACCTGGCATAGATTAGACTTGACAAAAAAGAGGCCTATCAAAATATATTCCCAGTACTTGTATTTGATATTGACTTTCAATTCATCATATCTTTGTAAATACTTAACGGAATTGAACCATTAGTGGGTCTCCGAATGGTTAACACGTGAGCGTTGGATCAGAAGGTCTGTCATGGAGTCAACTGGCGTGGTTTTGATTCCCTGCTTGTACGTGGCAATGAGCAGAGTCGCCTGTCCAACCTCGTTGGTTTTCCCCGGGTCCTACCACTGCTAAAGACATAGTTTGTGTGGAATGGACCTTAAACTCTTTCTCTCTCTCTCTCTCTCTCTCTCTTTGTAGATTAAAAGGAATTAATTATAATACCCCCCCCCCCCCAAAATGAGGATCAAAGACTTTAACTCTATATGTGATTATTATACCATTAAATCATACAAGTCATTATTATTTTATACCAATCAGTATCAACACAAGTGGTTTATAAATTATACAATAGTCATTAACAACCAGGTAATTGTCATATAGGTTAACCATTTAACATTTGGTCCATCTATATATTAACTATCGCATTTCCTTGAAGAAAATTAACCCTATAACATTTGAAGAGCCCCGGGGAAGAACGATTTAAGTTACTTTTTCAACAAACCCCAGTTAATGGCGCCATCTGGTAGGAAATTGTATAAGCTTTCTGTGGACCAATCAATTTCAGGTAAAAATGTTCAGAGCCACAGCGAACCAAGGCCCTTCTGAAATGGCCTCCCAGACAAATACGTCAATCGTACCCTTTATTTGACCTTAATTTGGCTAATACCGTTACATCTCTGGACAGACCAAAGCAATCTGAACCTGCTGTTACTTAGAACACCTCAAACCGCCGGAAATATGTGAATAGCTTTCCGTCATATAAGCTATTTACTAGTTTGTGGGAGAGCAACAGCTGTGCACGCGACAGGGGTGGTCTAATAAGGAACCCTATAGTTAGGTCGGTTTGTCGTTAAGGAGTCGTAGATAGTGCAGTTTGTGCCATAGAAATATATACATATACAGATCTATTTCTTTGTGTTTAAACATCCATTACGCAAGAGCTAAATCTGCCTATTGCAAGTCTTTCTTTAAACCTGAAATGTTATCTAAATTATTAATTAGACATTAATTAACTTATCCAGACCATAATCAACTCTCGATGTCATCACTAGCTTGCGATATTTACTGGATTAGAATCCGAACTGCTGCTCAACGCTCATTGATGATTAAATCAAAAAATGGATAATCGAGATTTATGTTTTTTATCGTACCGA